ATGCTGAAAGACCCAGCCACATTTCATCTTCAATGCCCTTGCTGATGGAAGGAGGTTTTCACTCAAAATCTCACGATACATGGCCCCATTCATTCTTTCCTTTACACGGATCAGTCGTCCTGGTCCCTATGCAGAAAAACAGTCCCAAAGCATGATGTTTCCACCCCCATGCTTCACAGTAGGTATGGTGTTCTTTGGATGCAACTCAGCATTCTTTGTCCTCCAAACACGACGAGTTGAGTTTTTACCAAAAAGTTATATTTTGGTTTCATCTGACCATATGACATTCTCCCAATCCTCTTTTGGATCATCCAAATGCACTCTAGCAAACTTCAGACGGGCCTGGACATGTACTGGCTTAAGCAGGGGAACACGTCTGGCACTGCATGATTTGAGTCCCTGGCGGCGTAGTGTGTTACTGATGGTAGGCTTTGTTACTTTGGTCCCAGCTCTCTGCAGGTCATTCACTAGGTCCCCCCGTGTGGTTCTGGGATTTTTGCTCACCGTTCTTGTGATCATTTTGACCCCACGGGGTGAGATCTTGCGTGGAGCCCCAGATCGAGGGAGATTATCAGTGGTCTTGTATGTCTTCCATTTCCTAATAATTGCTCCCACAGTTGATTTCTTCAAACCAAGCTGCTTACCTATTGCAGATTCAGTCTTCCCAGCCTGGTGCAGGTCTACAATTTAGTTTCTGGTGTCCTTTGACAGCTCTTTCGTCTTGGCCATAGTGGAGTTTGGAGTGTGACTGTTTGAGGTTGTGGACAGGTGTATTTTATACTGATAACAAGTTCAAACAGGTGCCATTAATACAGGTAACGATTGGAGGACAGAGGAGCCTCTTAAAAAAGAAGTTACAGGTCTGTGAGAGCCAGAAATCTTGCTTGTTTGTAGGTGACCAAATACTTATTTTCCACCATCATTTGCAAATAAATTCATTAAAAATCCTACAATGTGATTTTCTGGATTTTTTTTCCTCAATTTGTCTGTCATAGTTGACATGTACCTATGATGAAAATTACAGGCCTCTCTCATCTTTTTAAGTGGGAGAACTTGCACAATTGGTGGCTGACTAAATACTTTTTTTCCCCACTGTACAACCATTGCTATGCAATTTGTTAACATAGTGTCTACGGCACACTAAATTGCAATTTTTGACTGAATATTTGAAACAATATAAACCTAGGAGTAAAAATCATAGTAGAAATATACAAATAATCTTGTGTATGTACATATTATAAATCAAGTATTTTCATGTCAAGTTCACAATTTATGAATCAGTTTTGGCATGGACTTTATTGTACGTACAATTTAAGATACAATCTGTGCATATTATTATACTGAACAGAAGTAAACACAACAAGCAACACTTTCAAAGATTTTACTGAGTTACAGTCCATATAAGGAAATCAGTCAATTTAAATACATTCTTTAAGCCCTAATCTATGGATTTCACATGACTGGGACTACAGATATGCATCTGTTGGTCACAGATACCTTAAAAAATGGTAGGGGTGGATGAGAAAAATAGTCAGTATCTTGTGTGACCACCATTTGCCTCATGCAACGTGACATCTCCTTCACATAGAGTTGATCAGGCTGTTGATTGTGGCCTGTGGAATGTTGTCCCACTCCTCTTCAATGGCTGGAACACGCCGTTGCACACGTCTATCCAGAGCATCCCAAACATGCTCAACGAGTGACGTCTGGTGAGTATGCAGGCCATGGAAGAACTGGGATATTTTCAGCTTCCAGGAATTGTGTACAGATCCTTGCGACATGGGGCCGTGCATGATCATGCTGAAACAGGAGGTGATAGTGTCGGATGAATGACACGACAATGGGCCTAAGGATCTTGTCATGGTATCTCTGTGCATTCAAATTACCATTGATAAAATGCAATTGTGTTCGTTGTCGGTAGTTTATGCCCGCCCATACCATAACCCCACCGCCACCATGGGGCACTCTGTTCACATTGTTGACGTCAGCAAATGGCTCACGCACACGACACCATACACATGGTCTGCGGTGGTGAGGCCGGTTGGAAGTACTGCCAAATTCTCTAAAACAACATTGGAGGGGGCTTATGGTAGAGTAATTAACATTAAATTATCTGGCAACAGCTATGGTGGACATTCCTGCAGTCAGCATGCCAATTGCACACTCCCTCAAAACTTGAGACATCTGTGGCATTGTGTTGTGTGACAAGCACCTGTGTAATGATCATGCTGTTTAATCAGCTTCTTGATATGCCACACCTGTCAGGTGGATGGATTATCTTGGCAAAGGAGAAATGCTCACCAACAGGGATGTAAACACATTTCTGCACACAATTTGAGATAAATCATTTTTTTTGTGCTTATGGAACATTTCTGGGATCTTTTATTTCAGCTCATGAAACATGTCACCAACAGTTTACATGTTGCGTTTATATTTTTGTTCAGTGTAGTTTCATGAATGAGGCCTCAGCTCTTTCTCCTCAAATCGTTCACATCGTATTACTCTGTGGGTGAGACAGAGGAGCACTGGAGGCCTAAAGTGAATATGCTGCAAGGTGAGGTGCTGTTGCAACATGCACCACTGATAAGGGAAAAGATATAGAAAGGCTGAATACTCGGACTGCATGGGAGTTAACTGTGCACTAGTCTCTCTCTCTCTCTGTGTGTGTGTGTGTTGAAGTGTCTGACTCTGAACACCCATGTGTGCAGTTACAGATTCTCAGGGTACTTTGTAGGAACACCTAAAAGTCATGGGATTCTGTAGTGTTTAATCTAGATACCCTAATAACGATGCCTAGCTCTATCTGTGAGTCTTCCACCTTGAAAATCCCATACGCCTCCTTGAAGCCCCAATAAAGCTAATCTCTAGTCTCAGGGTCTGAGCTGTGGTTAGATATATTAATTATAGTGGGTCAGGCTGTCTACGGGCCTTAGGAGTCTTTTTTTTGTGTGCATCTGGCTGAGGGTTGGGACATCAGAGGGTGATTGATAGGATACTTGAAGGCATTGGAGAGGACGTGGTGACACACACACACTTTGTCACGGGACCCGATTCAGTCATCCTTTTCTGTGTTCAATCCGCCGCACTCATGTTTACTATCATTTACCAGGGTCGTGTTCATTAGTTACACCAAGTGTAAGAAAGTGGACTGAAACTATCTGGACTTTTTCCTTTTAGTGCCCTAATGAGCACAACCCAGATTAGGTATTCCACAACAGATTCAGTAGACTTTACTCAACTATTCTCAAAGGTCACCTCCATAGCTTCATCATAAAGTTGTATTAACCAGTATAAACTTTACCATCTCAGCTATGAAAACCATCAAGACATTAAAGTGGCAATCAGCAGTTGAAACAATAACAAAGCACCCTCCCCACCACTGTTTCGCCAAAAAGCTGAGGGATGGGACTGGAGAAATGTAACCACTCAAATTCATAGACAGCTATGGATGCTGACCATCCATGATATAAAATTATAGTAACCATGTTTTGAGGCTATACAGTGTTTGTTTACATTGACTGTGTTTACAAACATTGTAGTAAAACAAGCTTATATTGTGGGTTTTGATGGGTTACGACTGTTGAACTGATGAGACATTTATAAGTTATATTCTTCAAGAATCAATGGGTACATATCATTCATTTCTAAGTAAAAAAAATGGATGTAGCTACTTCAGATTGGCCCTTTAAAAAAACAGTCAAACATAATGAGGCCAATGTACCACTGCAAGGTCAAATACTTTATTTTCATAAAAAAACCACAGGTCCATTATTTTTAGTACAGTCAACAAACAAAACTAAGATTAGAAAGGCAAAGAGTCATTCAAAGAGTAAAATCAAACGGGGAAGACTGGGGCAGAGAGACATTCAACTATTCTAACAGTCAGAGTTCCTATAGAATAACACTCACTGATACTCACATTAGTGTCTGTGACACTGTCTGTGTGGGTCTGATTGACCATGGAAGCTAGAAAGCGTACAGTAGTAAGAGAGTCGACCAAGAGGACACCTATCCCCCATTTACAGAAAAGGTTCACTAAACCAGAAGTAACAGTCTGTGCTTGCACACAGATGGCCAAGAGCCCCGTCTGGATGCTGCTTCCTGATTGGATGGCCGACAAAGTGTATTTTTCTGGATGATGTCCATTGGTGAGAACAATGGCGAGAGAGAACTCTGGGACTAGGTCCTCTGAGAGGTGGCTCTGGGAAGAATAATAAGAAGAGAAAGGTTCAGTACGTCAGTCCAGATATCTTACTTGACATAGCAGAGGGAGAGAGAGAGCGAGAGAAAGGCGGGGGTTGACTCCTGTAGAATTCAATTTACCATCCCTTTATTGACTTCTTCCCAGGCTCGTTTTTACAACCTGGTGCTCAAAACGACACAGGCAATTAAAAAGGGGATTAAACACAGCCGATCGAGGCGAATGACGACAGTGCTCTCCATTTCACGGTGAATTACTCATAAATTCTGCCACAAATAAAGATAATCATTTGCAATACACAAACTATAAAATAACAGCATTGAGCTACACAAGTTCAATTGGAGACACGAACCATAATCATTAAATCTAGATGGGTTGTCAGTCAGCCATAGTGAGATGTTTGAGGACAATTGCAAGTAGCACAGACATCAGGATTGCGTTCAGTGGGGTGTAATTTTATATTTTTCAGATAGAAATATATCATGCAGAACAGGCGTGTTCCTCAGTCAAATAGGGAATCATGTCAGCTCTACAAAATACATTTCTATTGGCAACGTTCCCGAACATTGCAACTCCTGAACGCAGACCTGATATAAGGCTTCTGATATAATCTTCATTGTTCTTTATGAATCCATGTTAAAAAGTGGTTGGAGGTGAACATATGGTCTTGATTTATTTATTTTGGAGGGTTCACAAAGTTGCACAGTTAAAAACTACAAACCCCAGAGGACAGACAACACATCAATTTCCAATGTGGTACTCACCTGGGGATCAGTAGTTGGGGATCAGTAGTTGGAGATCAGTAGCTGATCAACTTCTTGACGGCGTCAAAGCACTTCCACTTGTCTGGGATGTAGAAGGGTTCGAAGATGTGAGGAAAGGGAGTGTCGTAGCCGCAGACTCTAGCGATGGGCGCCTCTAGGTTGAGGAAGCACTCCTCCTGTGGACATGCAGAGACACAACAGGTACGTGGTCAGTCTCACTCTGCATCTCAGTAGTCACACATCACATCCCTTTTGACATGGACGACAGGCTCCGCAGGTGTTTGGGTATTCGCAACAATTCGTATTTATTAGGGCATACCGTTGGAAAGTATTTCTAGTCAGACAAGTTCAAATAGTACCTCCCCGTTTTACTTGGTTTCCATCCTTCTTGTGCCTAAACATGACCCAGTTAATGCAACTGTTTATCTGACTTTGCGGTACACACATATGGCCAGAGTTTTTCTTGACCACATAACCTGACCAGGAAAAACTCTAGGCCCCTGTTCTGTGCTTGACAGAGAGACAGTGGAGTGGAATCAGTTTCACTGTCATGCCTGTAGCCACAGTAACACTAGAAATGCTTCACTGGAACATTGCTAACAGCTTCAGTGGATTCACAACCACCACCCTTAAGAGTTGGAGACAAATGGCTTATTTAAAATCCCAGCTCAGAGCTGGCCAACGCACAGCTTGTGTTTAAGCAGCGCTGGAAAACTAGCAATCACTCATGTCTCTATTGGCTTTTGACCTCCTCCCACAGCATCTGAATGCGATGGAGAGGCCAATAGCCTCCACAGGGGAGAACAGCCATCGCTGAGCCAAATGAACCATAAGGTCTTAGTAACTAGCATTCATAGACACACACACAATACCCTCTTTCAGTTTTAATGTGATGTGTGCTCACAGCCCACCCAATCAAACCTACACAAGAGAAATCAGTCACAAACTTGAAAACTGAGACAAAAACGAGTAGGGAATGTTAGTCATTTAGCTTTTATCACATATTCTGCAGACCCCTAGCTAAACGAAGGCAAGCCATACTCTGTGGACATTGTGTTGTATTTGCATGTTTCTGCAGTAATATGTTTTTCATCTCCTCCAAAACATCTGGCAGGGTTCAGGAGAACGTCAGGCTCCATGAGAAAGCCTTTGTGCATCGCCTTATTTCACTAGCTGTAAAAAACACAACAGAGAGCCTGCAGATGCGTGTCGGCTCCGCGTCCCCAGTACCATGCCAGGCCCGCCGGGTCTAATTCACAGCTATAGCTTTAGCATTGCCAGCAGCGGCAGGTCTCAGGATGCTTTGATTTAATTAAAGGGAATTAGCAGACAGACAAAATGGTCCTCTGGGTCATAAGGGTTTACTGTACCACAAGACAGGAATACATATGCAGTACACACTATTACCACTGTGGTATAACAGATGTCATAAATCAGTGTTACAAGCAATTCTGTTTTTTAGAGGTTTACAGTATGCAGGGAAAGTGATGTGTGCTCATGTGTATGGCTCATGGTCCACTGTAGTGTATAAAAGGGGGGGGGGGGGGGGCATTACTCAGCCCACAACAGGCAGCCCTGCTCCGCCTCGGCAATTAGTGGTGATTAGCCTTTATGGATGCCTGCAGCTAGTGCCAGCCAGCATCCCCTCCCCATCCAACCCCAGCCAGCCTGCCTCTCCTTGGCCAAGTGGGCCAAACGGTTTCTGTGGAGATTTCCTTCTGTCCCCTCCAACAGTCTAGGGCAGAGCTGGGAGACTGGGCATGATGCATTGTATGTATAAGACCATAAGTTCCCATATTCTATATTCAAATATCTCTATTCACCCATTGCACCTTGTTGGGGCAAGAACGTGAATCAATTTAGCCTCTGTAAGGTCAAAATCTTATAAGCCCATAATTAGAGTTTTTCTCAGCCTTAAATAACTTTAATAGCGCTTCAACACTTGGGTGGATGATTTTCTTGATATAAAATGCTCAGAAAGGACGCTCACAATGTCTGGCAGTGGCATATACGTTACTAAGGAAAATAAAACATTTGAGCTGCGATGACTAATTGCATTCTCTGAACAGGTTTCCTTGCCATGTTGCTCAGTGGAGAGCTATTTCTGGTCCTGGGGGCTAGGAGTTTAACAGTGTAACAGGCAGACACTTGTGTGGCGGCTGGAGGGGGCCTGCAGTGGACTTCAGTGACAGATTGACATCACACTTAATCATGAAGATGAAGCTCAAAACAAATAAGATGAGTCTGGTCAGGCCTGCATTTTTGAAGAGTTAGATCAGAAGTGTGATAAATACTTTAAGACTTTTTGAAAGAATCAAAACATGTAGCATAGGCCATGTAGCCTAATCCATCTCTCCCAATTTACTGTCATTTCAGAGTCATGATAGAGGACCATCTGTGTGTCTAGAATGCAGAGCATTAACGGAGAACGGCTCATGAGACAGTCTACGATCCACAGGCAGACATAGACAGTACTAAAGGCTTTTTCCTGTCAGATTCCAAACTGTAATCTCCTCTAAATACACTTACTGGAAGCAGGAGGAAAGAACAGTCTGGTTGCTTGTCACCACAGCTAAATAGTGAAGTGCCACAGAACTCAGATTTCACTCAAATCGCTGTTTATCTTTGGAGAAAACACACCATTATATGCAATCTGACATAAATGTCTGCATATAAATATGACAAAATGGCAGGACAAACTACGGACTGCATCTCTTGAGGAGGCAAGATTGAAGAATACCAACCGGCGGGGGTTTAGATTTGTAGTTGCGCGTTTTGCCTCCTGTCACACGGAAACAGAGTTTGTCAGCGGCAGCCACAGATTGGGGAATGTCACTCCAGGGTTCCAATATTACCAAATGGGACTACCAACAATGACAAATCACACACTGCCCTCTGGGCACACACTAGTTGAATCAACGTTGTTTCAACATAATTTGTAATTGTATTGTGTGTGGAATCAACGTGGAAAATACATTGGATTTGAAAAAAGAAATCAACCAGTTCCGTTTTGATCTAATTTGAACCAGCGTTGTAAACATTGACTTAACCTGACTAAACAGGTTGTTACATCAATCCAATTTCAACATAATCATCAGAACTATGTACAGTTGAAGTCGGAAGTTTACATACAATTAGGTTGGAGTCATTAAAACTTTCAACCACTCCACAAATTTCTTGTTAACAAACTATAGTTTTGGCAAGTCGGTTAGGACATCTACTTTGATCATGACACAAGTAATTTTTCCAACAACTGTTTACAGACAGGTTATTTCACTTATTATTCACTGTATCACAATTCCAGAGGGTCAGAAGTTTACATACACTAAATTGACTGTGCCTTTAAACAGCTTGGAAAATTCCAGAAAATGATGTCATGGCTTTAGAAGCTTTTGATAGGCTAATTGACATCATTTGAGTCAATTGGAGGTGTACCTGTGGATGTATTTCAAGGCCTACCTTCAAACTCAGTGCCTCTTTGCTTGACATCATGGGAAAATCAAAATAAATCAGCCAAGACCTCAGGAAAAAAAATGGTAGACCTCCACAAGTCTGGTTCATCCTTAGGAGTAATTTCCAAACGCCTGAAGGTACCACATTCATCTGTACAAACAATATTACGCAAGTATAAACACCATGGGATCACGCAGCCGTCATACCGCTCAGGAAGGAGACGCGTTCTGTCTCCTAGAGATTAACGTACTTTGGTGTGAAAAGTGCAAATCAATCCCAGAACAATAGCAAAGGACCTTGTGAAGATGCTGGAGGAAACAGGCACAAAAGTATCGATATCCACAGTAAAATGAGTCCTATATCGACATAACCTGAAAGGTCGCTCAGCAAGGAAGAAGCCACTGCTCCAAAACCTCCATAAAAAAGCCAGACTACGGTTTGCAACTGCACATGGGGACAAATATCATACTTTTTGGAGAAATGTCCTCTGGTCTGATGAAACAAAAATAGAACTGTTTGGCCGTAATGACCATCGTTATGTTTGGAGGAAAAAGGCGGTAGCTTGCAAGCCGAAGAACACCATCCCAACTGTGAAGCACAGGGGTGGCAGCATCATGCTGTGGGGGTGCTTTGCTGCAGGAGGGACTGGTGCACTTCACAAAATAGATGTCATCACGAGGAAGGAAAAGTATGTGGATATATTGAAGCAACATCTCAAGATATCAGTCAGGAAGTTAAAGCTTGGTCGCAAATGGGTCTTCCAAATGGACAATGACCCCAAGCATACTTCCAAAGTTGTGGCAAAATGGCTTAAGGACAACAAAGTCAAGGTATTGGAGTGGCCATCACAAAGCCCTGACCTCAATCCTATAGAAAAGTTGTGGGCAGAACTGAAAAAGAGTGTGCGAGCAAGGAGGCCTACAAACCTGAATCAGTTACACCAGCTCTGTCAGGAGGAATGGGCCAAAATTCACCCAACTTATTGTGGGAAGGTTATGGAAGGCTACCCGAAACGTTTGACCCAAGTTAAACAATTTAAAGGCAATGCTACCAAATACTAATTGAGTGTATGTAAACTTCTGACCCACTGGGAATGTGATGAAAGAAATAAAAGCTGAAATAAATAATTCTCTACTATTATTCTGACATTTCACATTGTTAAAATAAAGTGGTGATCCTAACTAACCTAAGACAGGGAATTTTTACTAGGATTAAATGTCAGGAATTGTGAAAAACAGAGTTTAAATGTTTTTGGCTAAGGTGTATGTAAACTTCCGACTTCAACTGTATATGTTGAAATTGCGTTGAAAGTTCCAGGTAGAAATATTAGAAATATTTTTAATCCTATATTAAATTGGGTGGTTGAAATAATGCTGAATTTCATATTTCCTTTGGACATTTTTAGGGCTGACCCCATTTAGTCAACTGGTTGATTGTTTGGTCGATAGGCTGTTGGTCGACCAAGATTTTTTTAGTCGAGCAGTCACAAATATATATTCTTTTTTATGGCACACGAGACACCTGTCTGATTCACGCCTGTCTGAGCGGACTAATCCATTTTGGAGGCCGCGGGGATGGCACACCAGTAGTAGGCCTACATTTACTGTTAATTCCCATAATTTCTAATCTACAATGTTTGTTTGGTTACAGTAATTTTTGTTAATGCATTCAATATATTATTATGACAGTCTTACTGTTCTCATTATAGGAGTGGACACGTTGTTTGCAGAGCGCACAACCAAGGCTACACTTGTGAGAAACAGGTTTTGGTTTATTTCATTCCATTTACGAGTTGTCAATTTATTCATTGTCTTTTGTTTGGAGCGCTCCTATCAATCTTGAGAAAGGACACGCACCTGATTACATATAGAAGTAGGCCTTTGCTACCTGGCCTGCGAGCAAATGTAGGCCTATAAATGTGCCCATCTGGGGATCTGATACTATTTCCGATTGTCTTAACTCACCACCACTGCGGAGCTTCTCAAAGTATTTTTTTCTTCACCTCAAACAGCAAGTAAACAAAGTCTGTTTTTACATCCATTGAAAATGACAATAGTTCCTAAATGACTAAAATGTAAGAATTTATTTGGGTTGCAATTTCTGAGGCTGGTAACTCTAATGAACTTATCCTCTGCAGCAGAGGTAACTCTGGGTCTTCCAGTCCTGTGGCGGTCCTCATGAGAGCCAGTTTCATCATAGCGCTTGATGTTTTTTGCGACTGCACTTGAAGAAACTTTCAAAGTTCTTGAAATGTTCCGTATTGACTGACCTTCATGTCTTAAAGTAATGATGGACTGTCGTTTCTCTTTGCTTATTTGAGCTGTTCTTGCCATAATATAGACTTGGTCTTTTACCAAATAGGGCTATCTTCTGTATACCCCCTCTACCTTGTCACAACACAACTGATTAGCTCAAATGCATTAAGAAGGAAATAAATTCCACAAATTAACTTTTAAGAAGGCACACCTGTTAATTGAAATGCATTCCAGGTGACTACCTCATGAAGCTGGTTGAGAGAATGCCAAGAGTGTGCAAAGCTGTCATCAAGTCAAAGGGTGGCTATTTGAAGAATCTCAAATATAAAACATATTTTGATTTGTTTAACACTTCTTTGGTTACTACATGATTCCATACGTGTTCTTTCATAGTTTTGATGTCTTCACTATTATTCTACAATGTAAAAAATAGTAAAAATAAAGAAAAACCCTTGAATGAGTAGGTGTGTCCAAACTTGACTGGGAGTGTATATATATTTATTTTTTAAGACATCTTGGAAAATCCATCTAGATTTTGATCTTAAAAGTATTTGTTTGTTTGCTTCCATATGAACAATGGTTTCAGAGGGTTCAAAGACCGCTGTAGATAGTGGGTTCATCAACACTGAAGCTTTTAGAGACTGATTGGAGGAGTTCATTATAGACTTCCTGTGTTACTTACTGAGCAACTTCCTGGAAGGAAAAATGAATCACACATTCTCTGATCATCCTGTTGAAGGTCAAATTTGGGGAAATTCCTTGCAATTTAGATTCAAAGCTACCTCTACAGGTAAAGGATAGACCAGTATGGATGAATTAATACCCATACCGGCCAAAGAGGGTTTCATGCTAGGCTGTGGCCATTCAACCCATCAACTGGCAAAAAAGAGAACATGGAGCTTGGAGCGATACATCATAGCCTACAGGCTGTGGCAGAATATGGACATCTAATTTCACTTTCCTCAGTGTGTGTAGCCTAACAGGTCTCTTCCGTAAACACATCCCTTTTGAAGGGGATCAGTGTATCCTGTGAGGGAGAGAGACAAGGGGCATCCAGCCATGGTTTTACAGTGGAAGGCACAGAAAAAACAGCGCCTGAGGAAACAAACCAGCCTTCTTTAAACGGCCTGACAGCCAAACAAGGGTTCTGGTTCTGATTCGGAAGGCATTTATGGCAGAAAAACGCAGGCCTTCATCTTCGACCAACCCCAACTGGGCCGGAATGGAAGACGGCCATCTTTGATGTGAGGCCCGGACCTGTACTACCACAGCTCAGCGGTCAGCGTTGGGTTGGAGTTCGATGCTGGACTCCACTCCATTCCCATTACACACAAATAACGGAAAGAACTCGGCAGAGCAAAAAGAGTGGATGATTCCAACGTGTCTGAAAGCTGTGGTAGGTCTACAGCAAAGGTTACAGGACCAAAGGCAGTGTATAATCCGGGTTTGGTGTTTGCAGTGACTGGGGAGATGCAGCATGAACTGTTAATCAATCAATAAATAAATAATAATATGGAAACTCTAGTTTTGCTTGTGTATCTCAAGTAACGCTTCATCCCTAAGTGTACTTCCGTCTATAGTGTGAAACAGAGACTTAAAGTCACAGTGTTGCTTGTAAGCACAGCCTCTACTGTACGGTCCAATCCCAGGGGTCTAGCCTATAAATACTATATGTAGCACAGCGAGGTCTATTTGTTAATTGTAACAAAGCTGTATGCACAGTAATATGGGAGAGTTCACCATGGCACTCTTTGTATCCCTGAGATCCATTGTAAGTCAGCAGAGAAGCTCTGATATGAGGTCAGTCAATGACAACACCTTATTTCAAGGCAAACAATGACACGGCATCGTTTGTGAGGTGCAGCCAATCCACCGAATGGAAACTTTCAAACCCTTAACTGCTGTTCCAAATTTGAAAGAAAGTCAAACTAATCCATAATTGGACCGTGCTCACACTGCCCTGAGGCAGTTGGTTTTGACCTGATTATCCTTTAGTTTCGCCCTCCTGTCCAGACATAATACATTTACAGAACCATTATGTACAACCACTCCTTCTCCCTGAAGGGAACACAGCACATACTTTGATCATGCCCTGACCAGGCCAGAGCAGAGTCTTCATTAGACAGAGGGAGGGAGGGAGGGAGGGAGGGACGGGAAAAATGGAGGGAGGGAGAGGGGATACACCTCCAGCACAGTCAGTACAGTCCATGAGCAAAAATTCATCCAAAGACAAGGTTGAGTATTAGTTTCAACTGGCTTGATCTAATATACAGTGAGGGAAAAAAGTATTTGATCCCCTGCTGATTTTGTACGTTTGCCCACTGACAAAGACATGATCAGTCTATAATTTTAATGGGAGGTTTATTTAAACAGTGAGAGACAGAATAACAACAAAAAAATCCAGAAAAACACATGTATAAAATGTTATAAATTGATTTGCATTTTAATGAGGGAAATAAGTATTTGACCCCTCTGCAAAACATGACTTAGTACTTGGTGGCAAAACCCTTGTTGGCAATCACAGAGGTCAGACATTTCTTGTAGTTGGCCACCAGGTTTGCACACATCTCAGGAGGGATTTTGTCCCACTCCTCTTTGCAGATCTTCTCCAAGTCATTAAGGTTTCGAGGCTGACGTTTGGCAACTCAAACCTTCAGCTCCCTCCACAGATTTTCTATGGGATTAAGGTCTGGAGACTGGCTAGGCTACTCCAGGACCTTAATGTGCTTCTTCTTGAGCCACTCCTTTGTTGCCTTGGCCGTGTGTTTTGGGTAATTGTCATGCTGGAATACCCATCCACGACCCATTTTCAATGCCCTGGCTGAGGAAAGGAGGTTCTCACCCAAGATTTGACGGTACATTGACGGTCCATCGTCCCTTTGATGCGGTGAAGTTGTCCTGTCCCCTTAGCAGAAAAACACACCCAAAGCATAATGTTTCCACCTCCATATTTGACGGTGGGGATGATGTTCTTGGGGTCATAGGCAGCATTCCTCCTCCTCCAAACACGGCGAGTTGAGTTGATGCAAAAGAGCATCAACTCTTTTTGGTCTCATCTGACCACAACACTTTCACCCAGTTCTCTTCTGAATCATTCAGATGTTCATTGGCAAACTTCAGACGGCCTTCTATGTGCTTTCTTGAGCAGGGGGACCTTGCGGGCGCTGCAGGATTTCAGTCCTTCACGGCGTAGTGTGTTACCAATTGTTTTCTTGGTGACTATGGTCCCAGCTGCCTTGAGATCATTGACAAGATCCTCCCGTGTAGTTCTGGGCTGATTCCTCACCGTTCTCATGATCATTGCAACTCCACGAGGTGAGATCTTGCATGGAGCCCCAGGCCGAGGGAGATTGACAGTTATTTTGTGTTTCTTCCATTTGCGAATAATCGCACCAACTGTTGTCACCTTCTCACCAAGCTGATTGGCGATGGTCTTGTAGCCCATTCCAGCCTTGTGTAGGTCTACAATCTTGTCCCTGACATCCTTGGAGAGCTCTTTGGTCATGGACATGGTGGAGAGTTTGGAATCTGATTGATTGATTGCTTCTGTGGACAGGTGTCTTTTTTATACAGGTAACAAACTGAGATTAGGAGCACTCCCTTTAAGAGTGTGCTCCTAATCTCAGCTCGTTACCTGTATAAAAGACACCTGGGAGCCAGAAATCTTTCTGATTGAGAGGGGGTCAAATACTTATTTCCCTAATTAAAATGCAAATCAATTTATAACATTTTTGACATGCATTTTTCTGGATTTTTTGGTTGTTATTCTGTCTCTCACTGTTCAAATAAACCTACCATTAAAATTATAGACTGATCATGTCTTTGTCAGTGGGCAAACGTACAAAATCAGCAGGGGATCAAATACTTTTTTCCCTCACTGTATATTACTAATTTCAATGGACAAAGTCTAGCGAGTTTCAGTATGACATGTCAGTGCCTCTTAAGCTCAGATTTATTGCCTGACCCTGAGGACACCTACTGACAGACATTTGAATTTCATTTCGCATTTCAAACCGAGAAAGCTCAACCCAAACCCCCATCCACACAGACATAGATACCCTACTGTCCATGTGCAATTCGTCCCACATCTCACCTCTGAAGGCCCCCTCGGATTCCAATAGAACCCTCTGCATGCATGACCACACACAAACACACTTACTTGCACTGTGGAGCTGATCTCGGCAGCAAAGCCTCCGGTGATTGGAGCCTCGTGACTGATAAGCAGCCGTCCGGTTTTGGCCACCGACTGAAAAACACAACACACACAGTCTGATCAATACAGTGTGACACATCACCCATAGACAAAATCTGTGGTTACTGTACACATAATGTCTCTCCCCAGCTGGGACTGAAGAGCCTGCCTTTGGTGTCTAAGGCAAGCATGTGGCAGGCAACGAGACAAGCATCGTATTATGGTACCATGACAAATGTACAATGAGGTAGAGGGTGAACATGATTTGAGTATGCAAATACAGTTTGTAGCATGTTCTAACACAGGGGTTCCTAACCTTTTTCCCGGAGGGACCCCTATTTCACATTTGATACATTTTAGTACAGTTAGTGCAGTCAGCCCATGAGTAACAATTCATCACACAATGAATAGCCCCCCGGAGATAATAAATACTCAAACATTCACAAACACGCACTAGCACGCACAAGCAAATCCCATTCTAAAAGCATTTGTGTAGCGTGTGTGTGTGTGCGCACAAATGAGTGCAGTATTTTCCATAAGCGCTGGCTTTTGGCTAAATAGCCTCAGACTCATTGTTAGCCAGCTACTTTTTCTACTTAATTGATTAACTAGGCTTCTTTTCATTTAAAAGTTTCAATTCGCTAGCCAGAAAAGTCTGTATAGACTTCTCCCAATAGAATGAACAATATGCATCTTCTAGTGATAGGACAGGCGCCTGTCAGCCACAAAGCGAGCGATGACAGGGACACTGCTGGTTTGTCAGTCTGCTGTCTGTCCCGCCTCTCGGTATCCGTGTTATTGTTGTGCGCTCTGATTGGCTGCAGTTGAATTTGATTTCACGGAGGAGGGAGAACACGAGCATCATCTCCTGTGAGTGAATTTACACGTCCCATGTAATGTAAGTGGTAATTATGAGTTGAAATCCACGTAATTGTTGTACTGTGGCACATTCATTAATTTTATTTTGCCTGTTTCATAGGCCTACTATAGCCAGCCACAGAATTGGGCACAAAGGCCTGTGGTTTGATTGACGACCGAACTGCAAGTGTTGCCTAGTTTATAAAAGGTGTCGCAATGACTGAATAAAGTAAACCTCCTATTTCCCTTTGTTATTCATAAATCATACAACGTAGTTATGCTGTATGTCAATAGTATCGCATCCGGAAAAGTAAACCAAAGATCATGTTTGTATTTTCCTAGGATTCAAAGCCCATGTCGAGATTTGCCACTGCCAGTGACTCGTCGGTGTAGCCTACTGATGGGTTGTTCGCGAACGAACAATTGGCTCTTTTTGACCGGATCGTTTAGGTGAACGGAACTGAATCGTTGAGAGAGCCGTTCATTGGGCTCCCTCATTTGCATATTGGTAGGCTACTACTGCTTTTCGGCGATTATCTGCAGATAAATTAGAAAACAGATGAAGATGTTGAATCTTCACTGTATGAACAATAGGTAGTGGAGAGAGAGAGCCTGATTCTGTTCCAAAATATGATAAAAGAAAAGATTGAGAGTTATAAAAGCTAATGTTATGACATTTACAATGCCATCAGAAAGTATACATACCTCTTGACTTATTCCACATTTGGTTGTATTACAGCCTGAATTGAATATGGATTAAAGGGATTTTTTATGGGTAAGTCTCTATTGTACAATATGGAGAGTGGTACTAAGTAATGTGTTGTATTGGATTTGCCCCAAATATGACACTTTGTATTCAGGACAAAAAGTGATTTGCTTTGCCACATTTGTTGCAGTATTATTTTAGTGTCTTGTTGCAAGCAGGATGCATGTTTTGGAATATTTTTATTCTGTACAGGCTGCCTTCTTTTCACTCTGTCAATTAGGTTAGTATTGTGGAGTAACTACAATGTGATCCATCCTCAGTTTTCCCCTCTCACACTCGTTAAACTATGTACAGTGAGGGATATAAGTATTTCATCCCCTGCTGATTTTGTACGTTTGCCCACTGACAAAGAAATGATCAGTCTATAATTTTAATGGTAGGTTTATTTGAACAGTGAGAGACAGAATAACAACCAAAAAATCCAGAAAAATGCATGTCAAAAATGTTATAAATTGATTTGCATTTTAATTAGGGAAATAAGTATTTGACCCCCTCTCAATCAGAAAGATTTCTGGCTCCCAGGTGTCTTTTATACAGGTAACGAGCTGAGATTAGGAGCACACTCTTAAAGGGAGTGCTCCTAATCTCAGTTTGTTACCTGTATAAAAAAGACACCTGTCCACAGAAGCAATCAATCAATCAGATTCCAAACTCTCCACCATGTCCATGACCAAAGAGCTCTCCAAGGATGTCAGGGACAAGATTGTAGACCTACACACGGCTGGAATGGGCTACAAGACCATCACCAAGCAGCTTGGTGAGAAGGTGACAACAGTTGGTGCGATTATTCGCAAATGGAAGAAACACAAAAGAACTGTGGAGTTGCAATGATCATGAGAACGGTGAGGAATCAGCCCAGAACTACATGGAAGGATCTTGTCAATGATCTCAAGGCAGCTGGGACCATAGTCACCAAGAAAACAATTGGTAACACACTACGCCGTGAAGGACTGAAATCCTGCAGCGCCCGCAAGGTCCCCCTGCTCAAGAAAGCACATATACATGCCCGTCTGAAGTTTGCCAATGAACATCTGAATGATTCAGAGGAGAACTGGGTGAAAGTATTGTGGTCAGATGAGACCAAAATGGAGCTCTTTGGCATCAACTCAACTCACCGTGTTTGGAGGAGGAGGAATGCTGCCTATGACCCCAAGAACACCATCCCCACCGTCAAACATGGAGGTGGAAACATTATGCTTTGGGGGTGTTTTTCTGCTAAGGGGATAGGACAACTTCACCGTATCAAAGGGACGATGGACGGGGCCATGTACCGTCAAATCTTGGGTGAGAACCTCCTTCCCTCAGCCAGGGCATTGAAAATGGGTCGTGGATGGGTATTCCAGCATGACAATGACCCAAAACACACGGCCAAGGCAACAAAGGAGTGGCTCAAGAAGAATACCTCTGTGACTGCCAACAAGGGTATTGCCACCAAGTACTAAGTCATGTTTAGCAGAGGGGTCAAATTCTTATTTCCCTCATTAAAATGCAAATCAATTTATAACATTTCTGACGTGTTTTTCTGGATTTTTTTTGTTGTTATTCTGTCTCTCACTGTTCAAATAAACCTACCATTAAAATTATAGACTGATCATTTCTTTGTCAGTGGGCAAACGTACAAAATCAGCAGGGGATCAAATACTTATTTCCCTCACTGTAACTGTTTTAAAGTCACCATTGGCCTCATGAGAAAATCCCTGAGCGGTTTCCTTCCTTTCTGGCAACTGAGTTAGGATGGACGCCTCTATCTTTGTAGTGACTGGATGTATTGATATACCATCCAAAGTGTAATTAATAACTTCACCATGCTCAAAAGGATATTCAATGTCTGCTTTTATTATTCTTACCCATCTACCAATAGGTGCCTTTCTTTGCAAGGCATTGGAAAACCTCCCTGGTCTTTGTGGTTGAATCTGTGTTTGAAATTCACTGCTCGACTGAGGGACCTTACAGGTAATTATATGTGTGGGGTACAGAGATGAGGTAGTCATTCAAAAACCATGTAAAACACTATTATTGCACACAGAGTCAATTTTTTATGTGACTTTTGAAGCACATTTTTACTACTGAACGTATTTAGGCTTGCCATAAAGGGTTTGAATAATTATTGACTCAAGACATTACAGCTTTCATTTTTTATTAATTTGTAAACACTTCAAAAACCAAAATTCCACTTTGACATTATGGGGTACTACTGAGTGTAGACCAGTGACACAAAATCTCAATTTAATCCATTTTTAATTCAGGCTGTAACACAACAAAATCTGGAAAAAGTCAAGGGTTATGAATACTTTGAAGGCACTGTATATGGTATTATTAAATATATTGATATAGGCCTACTGATTTGATTAAAGTGTCGAAACTGGAGTAGTCAACTGTTGCATTCGGTGTAGCAAAGCCCATTTTTAGCACCTGCTTCATTCATACCTGTAGGTCTGTTCCAGTGGAGGCTGGTGGGAGTAGCTATAGGAGGATGGGCTCATTGTAATGGCTGGAATGGAATAAATGGAACTGAGTCAAACATGTGATTTCCAAAAGGTATGATGTGTTGGATAGCGTTCCAATAATTATATTCCAGCCATTACAATGAGTCTGTCCTCCTATAGCTCCTCCCACCAGCCTCCTCTGGTCTATTCATGGTCGCCTGACTTTGTATAAAAGTGGGGGTGCACAACCTGGCAGGGAGTTTGGGTGTCCTCCCCCTGACATTTTTAATTTTTAAAAATGTTATTCTGCAATTCTGCACTGCTCAAAAAAATAAAGGGTACACTTAAAACAACACAATGTAACTTCAAGTCAATCACACTTCTGTGAAATCAAACTGTCCACTTAGGAAGCAACACTGATTGACAATAAATTCCACAAGCTGTTGTGCAAATGGAATAGACAACAGGTGGAAATTATAGGCAATTAGCAAGACACAACCAATAAAGGACTGGTTTTGCAGGTGGTGACCACAGACCACTTCTCAGTTCCAATGCTTCCTGGCTGATGTTTTGGTCACTTTTGAATGCTGGCGGTGCTTTCACTCTAGTGGTAGCATGAGACGGAGTCTACAACCCACACAAGTGGCTCAGGTAGTGCAGCTCATCCAGGATGGCACATCAATGCGAGCTGTGGCAAGAAGGTTTGCTGTGTCTGTCAGCGTAGTGTCCAGAGCATGGAGGCACTACCAGGAGACAGGCCAGTACATCAGGAGACGTGGAGGAGGCCGTAGGAGGGCAACAACCCAGCAGCAGGACTGCTACCTCCGCCTTTGTGCAAGAAGGAGCAGGTGGAGCACTGCCAGAGCCCTGCAAAATGACATCCAGCAGGCCACAAATGTGCATGTGTCTGCTCAAACGGTCAGAAACAGACTCCATGAGGGTGGTATGAGGGCCTGACGTCCACAGGTGGGGGTTGTGCTTACAGCCCAACACCGTGCAGGACGTTTGGCATTTGCCAGAGAACACCAAGATTGGCAAATTCGCCACTGGCGCCCTGTGCTCTTCACAGATGAAAGCAGGTTCACACTGAGCACGTGACAGACGTGACAGAGACTGGAGACGCCGTGGAGAATGTTCTGCTGCCTGCAACATCCTCCAGCATGACCGGTTTGGCGGTGGGTCAGTCATGGTGTGGGGTGGCATTTCTTTGGG